CTTTCTAAAAATATATATGGTCACATCTTAGACAACACTTTCCTGAAAACAATGTCAAAAGATGCAAGAAGACAAAAATGGTATTTTCAGTGAGCTCATTCTGAAACTCCAGAAGCAGAAAATATGTTTGCCACAGATTAGTTCCACAAACTATTTCAAAGCCAAATCTTTGTGCCAGCAACAAACCTTCTTTACCTTTTTCTGTCCCCAAATCCAAAATCCAGCATGAAAATCACTTGTTCTGGGCCTGGATTCACCGACAGGAAACACAAGGCACTACTACTTACGTTTACATTATAAATTTATGTGTTTATTCATAAAAATTCTGTAGTCAGAACGATCAGCTTGGATTGCTGATGAGGAAGATTATTTTAATTTCTTTATATATTTCAATTAAATGCATGACTATTGATTTCAGTGCATTTTTTTTCAGTTAAAAGCACAGTGATTTATGTTGCTAAAATGCTACTGCCTGCCCTGCCAAAAGCATGCATCTGGGAACATTTCTGGGTTGCTCACAGTCTTTTCTCTCTTCTTTCCACCTCCGACTGCCAGCGCATGCTGTTGAAACAAACCAGCTACTTGAAAAGGCAGTTTCTGTTTTCTGTCTTTATGAGTCTGGCAGTGTTTTGAGAAGGGGGGAGGAATAGTAAGAGAAGAAAGGTAGATTCAGGGCCCATAAATAAAGAGAAAAAAATGTTATGATAAAACAGTACACCTACCTGAGCTCTGTTCTTTTTCCCAGGGTGATACCATTTCTGGATTCATCTGAGGTCAGATAAGTTGAGTTTCAAGGAGCCACCAGCTCTCCACAGCACCTGAATTTCGTGAACCTTGTCTCCACAAGCTCATTGTCAGCTGAAGCTTTCATGGCTCCTTCCAGAACGGTGCTGTGATGTGCCCAGTGTCCCCTGCTGTGACATGCCCATCCTGGCATACAGCTCTGCACAACCACAACAGGACAGAAGAGCAGCCCCAGATTCACACTTACTCTGGTTTTCAGCTCGTGTGACAGTTGCTAGTTCTCTCCTTTGACCAGTGCTTTTGATACTCTCTGTTATAGCGAGCTTCTGCAAGTCTTTTGCAACATGTAAATAAGTATCTTTATTCTTGCAGTAATTTGGCAGTGTGCTAGCACTGCTCCTTCTCTTCTCAGGACCAGAAAACCCAGAGTGTTCTTGTATTATTAATGAGGGACTGTCTGCATTGCCACAGGTAATACAATATTCACATGAGTTTCACATTCATGGAGTAAAGTGCTATATAACTTAAGCTACTTACAGAAGCAGCTATGCTTGCTGAGCATCTACTCTGGAAGTCACCAACAGGACTCCAAACTGAGTGCAGTTGCACATATGGATACACTAGCGTAAGATAGGTTTTACCAGTACAGCGTTGGTGTAAGCTGGATCCCATTCCCTCCTCCCTTGCTAGCTAAGCAATTAAAAGTATAATTATTATTGTACAGTTACGCTGGTATGATTCTGCACGTACAGAAGTCATGAAGCTCAAGAAGTGAGGGAACACCTTCTGCTGAGCCACAAGCGGTCTCATTAGGGGCATGACAGCACATGAAGGAGGAACAAGAGAAGCAAGGACACATAGGTTTTCTTGAACACTGCTTTTCATCTTCCAAGTGCTTTACAAAAAATGTATCTCACTGAAGCATGGAAACATACTTTTCAGGAACTATCAAACTTATTTTCCTCAATAAGGAAAATGAAGCAGAGATGTTCAAGTGGATTTGTCCAAGTTAACACAAGCAAATGAGTGACAGAAAAAGCACTGATGTCTAGTTCTCAATTCATTATCATATCAGACCTTGTTCTCCACTTTTAAATATTAACTATCACCAAGATTATTATCCTAGCCCAACAGTGTGCTTGCAGTAATTCAAGATCTTTACAAGAAATCTACATCTCATTAAGCTCAAAGAACAAATTACAGATTTACCAATTTTAGAGCTCTTTCAATGGCTAGCTATCCACAATCTGCTTTTTTAAGTCTGATACCTTATGGGTACTAGATTCAACAGTATGATGGACTTAATGAGTTCTGACCTGTTCCTTGAGTTGTTGTAACTGATGATGAGCACTGCCCATCATTTCCCACCCCAACTGAAAGGTAACTTTCTGTGAAGATGATTCAAGTCAACGTCTTTCACTTGGCAAGCAGGGTGAGCTCACTAGGTGATAGCTCAGCTGATGACATTATACCATGTTAAGGTAATGGTACTCTATCACATAATTCAGTACAGGCTAAAAAGGGAAGTTTTCTAGTTCAACCATGAGAATACTTGGCAAAGAAGCCAGAAGTGACTTTTTTAGTGTTATCTTCTCTCTTAAAAAGATATTTTCTAGTACTTTTACCATAGTATTTTATTACTGAGAAACAAAGAGTATTGACCACTATTAATGGTCTGACAAGTAGTTTCCACATTTTTCTTGCCTCTGGAATGAAATGTTCTCTGTATAATGGTTGAAATCTCAAACCACATGACTCTCAATAATGCAAATGAAATCTTCACTCTATAATATCACGATTTTTTTGTTGAAAAATTGCCCAAAATAGCATGTTTAAGTAGCCGTTTTCAACATCCCATTCAATTCAAGAAATATCCTTCCAGTGGAATAGCAAAGCCACTGACTAATAACGACTTTTAGAAATCTAATTTGTTTTTACCGTTTGTGTTATATGCTTATGTTTTCCATTTCTCTCAGCCTGGACATCCAATCTATAGTGTTAAACATTTGTGTATTACCACTTTGAATTTTCATTCTCAATGCTACAATGCTTGCGTCACTATAATTTGAAACCATTAATATCTGTTAGAAAAATAAATTATTGTTCAGGATTTTACAAACATGCATTTATGGTTTCCGGAAGTACTAATGCTCTATCAGGAACTTGATAGCTTTGTCCTTCCCAGGAGAAAAGAATCTGAAACTCTAGGTTACTTATGTGGACACTAGAACCATAGATAATTGAAAAATCCGTTTACATGCTCTGAATGGGAGCAGCGGGCAAATGATGATTTAAAAGCAGGCAAATGCTATTCACAGATCTTGCTGTAGTTTAAAAGGCTTTTTCATCTTAAATACATTTCTAAGAGAAAAACAGAAAGGAGTAAGAAGAGGAACATGATGCCAATCAGAAGAAGACATAAGAACTCTGATTGTACCTGATCCAAGCACAAGAAGATTCACTGATGACACTGAAGGTAACTGACCTTATGTCACCACAAAGGACCCCAAAATCTCTTTTTGTCTAGTTTACAAGCAAGAGAAAGCCAAGTTGGTAACATCTTATCATGGTGACTTTCTTAACATGCATTATTCTGATTGTGCTTGAGGTAGTAGGATTTGGCTTCCAACATGACTGGGAAGAGAAATTTCATGTAGTCACTCAGGGAAAGATGACAGAAACAGAAACCAGGATTACTCCAAATTCATCAAAAACATGCAGCTGGTAATTCTGTGGTTCTCACTCAGCAGCAGTACTACAGGACCATCAACGGCATGAACTGCCCCTAATGGGAGTTACTCCTTTTCCCTCTTCTTTGAAAAGAAGGTTTTCCTTACACCTGTGGTCTCAGTCTAACAATTTGCTCCTTCCACAAACTCCACACCACATCCCATTCCCCAAATGTCCCACACTACCACTCGATGTGCAAACTGGAAATGTACAAGTCATGAAAGCATAGGGCCCTTCCCTAGCAGATGCATCTTGCCTGGTACTTCACCCTCGTCTCTCAATTCCACGTCCCTCTTTGTGACATTCCAGGTCCTGTGCTACCTCAGTGGCCTCCTCTCAGCCTATCTCCAGCTATGTTCTGGGTAGCTCCACAAATTCTCACCTCTTGGCCCACACATCCTTATGGATCTCCCCTCCTCCCTCTCTGCCTCCCTCCTGCCCTCCATTTTGCACAACACTGTTGGATGACATGCTGAGAGATTTCTTACCCAACAGATGGGCTCACAAACAGGGAGTGAGGAAGGTGATGGAAGAGCAGCAGCTCCCTAGCCACAGGGTATCGATACACATTCACAGCAATGGGATGCACCATCCTTGTACCATTACAGGCTAAAAGCTTTCTTGAAACAAAAGCTATTATTTCTTACCATTTGTTTGTGCTGTGTTTTTAGGCTTCCTGAACTATAAGGGATCATTATGCAAGATACCATGTCTAAAATACGAATGTTAAGACATTCTATTGATAACATTTCTGAACATAAAAGAGATTTCCTTTCCTCACTACATGACCTCCCCCTACCTTCCCTTATACAGGTGTTATTATTTGGTCACTGGTGCCTGAGGAAGCAGAAGAGATCTTTCAAGAATTTGATGTTTAGTTTCTAAGTTATGCTGCATGAATGGGATTTCAGTCATCAGGCACTAGGTGTTTCCGTGACATCCAAATGTTGTTCATCAGGAATGGAAAGAAAAACACAACAAGGAATTGCATCCAAAGGACTGATTTCCCAATTTACCTAAGGCTAGTGTTGCACTTCTACTTAATCAAAATATGTTATAAGAGGGAAAAATGAATGTCTACAAGACAATTTACAAAAAAACCTCTCAATTTGTTGCTCACAAATATTTTTTAAAAATCCACCCCTTATGCCAGCATTTTGGCTCACTGTAGTCTACTCCTCTGTCATTAATGCTCTCTGCCGTAAGCACAACTCCTAGCTGGGGATTCCAATGCGTAAGGGAGCTAGGATAAGATTCCAGATCTCAGTTGTGCTGGCATGAAGATAGGTCTCCTCAGTGATACAGAAGACAATATCCTAGGGAGACTGGAATTAGTCCTATTCCGCACAATTCAATCCAAGATGTAAGGCATATCAAGAAGCAAGTAATTACTAGCTAATGGCTACGGATGGAAATGTAACATGGTTCAGCCTAAGCATTTCATGACAAGTGACAAGACAGCTTGAAAAAAGGGGGATTTTTTCCAAAAGGATGGAAGGTGTCAAGAGCAAAGAAAAAAGGGTTACCTCTTCAGTTTGGGAGGGGCTGATTCTGGGCATTGGAGAGACTTGTGGTGTTTTCAGCTGTGTACTGTTGCTGTCTGGAACAAGCTCTCTGTGGATTGACTGAATATGGTTTTGGAGTTCACTTTCTGATTCAAATTTAACATTGCAACTAGAACATCGAGTCTTCAGTCCCCCTGCCTTGCTTTTGTTCTCAATGGAACTCAAGTTCTCATTTTGGCCCATGCCTTGTCTGTTACTGCTTGAAGGGATGTTGACACTTGGACTACCACTTTTACTGAGATTAACACAGCTAGCACACAGACCATATGGCAGACCGTTGATGTCAAGTTTCACTAAATCCTGCTTTGAGCGGAATTCCTTCAGGCAAGAAGCACACTTGTACAGTTTCTGGAGATGCTGTGCACGTCCCGTGGACTGCACGGCGGAACCGTTTCCAGTTTTCTGCATGTGGAACGTGCCATGGATTTTCAGTTCCAGCGTGGAGGTCACCGTCTGCATGCACACCACACAGCGGAACCCCGTCAAGGAGTTCCTCAAATCAGGGTGCATTTGGCAATGCTCCAAAAATTCCTCCTCGCTCTGGAGGGGCATCTTGCAAATTCTGCAGTTTCCAGTGTCCAGGCTCTTACTATGTGTGACCTTATGTTCAGTAAGAGTCAGAAGAGACGGAAACCGCTCGCCACAGATTGGGCACATATAATGTTTCACTGGTCCCAAGTGCGTCTGCATGTGCTCTCGGAGCCCATTTTCAGAGAAGAATGTTCGAGAACACACATTACACTTGTAATTCCCTTTAATGAGTTCAGCCTTTTTCTTTACTATCGCACTTTCTCCAGGTCGAATGTTGTGGTCTCGAAGCTGGTGATTTTGCAGAAGAGTCTCCATGGTATAAGCCGCTCCACAAATGTCACAGCCATACATAGGCTCAGATGTGTCCACATCTTCTTCGCTGCCATCATGGCTGTTATGGGACTCCTGGCTATTTGTCAACAGGGTCTGGAGTTCCACTTCCTCTTTCTGAACCTGCTCAGACGCTCCATTCGTTCCACAGTTTGGAGTTTTTGTTTCAAAAACACAATGTTTTTCCCTTAAGTGTTTTTCCAGCAAGATGATAGCATGGAAAGCTTTGCTGCAAAACTTGCAGTTGTACTTCTTGCTGTGCGTAGTAATGTGACACTGCAGCTCCACCTCCGTACCAAACGACTCGCCACAGAAGATGCACTTGTGTACTTTGCCTTGGTTCTCCAGGTGGTTGTGTTTAACATGAAGCTGTAGGTCAGTCTCATTGCGGAAATCCCAATTGCAAGATGTACATCTGTATACCTTCTTTTCATTGCTGTGCTTCACAGCCAAGTGTAGCTGAATGGAGACTTTGGAGTCAAAAACCTCTTGGCACAAGGTGCAGCGGAAGAACACAAACGTATGCATGTCCAGGAGGTGTTTCTGCAAGTCATCCACAGAAGTGAACTGCTTGTCACAGCTTTCGCAGATGTAGTAGGTTGAGGTGATCATGAAATGAATGGTAACATGCTTCAGCAGAGACTCCTGATTTGGAAATTCCTTGTTGCACTGAGGGCAGGTCAGTTTTGGCAGGACAGTGTCAAGATGTGTTTTTAAATGAGTCTGAAAACCGTCCAGGGAAGTATACTTAGCACCACACTGATTACAAATATATTCACCTGCAGGACGAGGAGGAGCACCTCCAACTGCCTGCATCATCTTTAAAGAGGTCTGCTCGATGGTTACAGGAGATAAGGGACTCATGGCTCTGGATTTTTTTCCATTGTGGATGTAATTCAGTGCCAAAGGAATGTTCTTATGGTTCTCCTTGATATGCTTGTTCAGTTTAAGAACACTATTAAATATTGGAGAGTTTGTACAATAAGAACAAGAATACACTTCTACCACTGGATCTTTTGGGGTTCCAAGCACAGGGGAACCAAAACGGGAACTGCTAAGATCGCAATGGACTTGTCTAATATGCTCTTCCAGAGAAGAATCTGTAAGAAATCCCATGTAGCAATGGGGACAAAAGAATGCATTACTGTCCTTAGCAGCAGGGTTGGCAAATCCATGAGAACATCGAATGTGTTCCTGAAGGGTGTTGAGGTCATTGAACACTTCAGAGCAGAAATTGCACTGGTACACCATGGCAGGCATGGTAGAAACAATCAGTGCTGGGTCCGGAGCTTCGTGGACTTGCTTAAGATGTTCGTTCAGATTGTAGAGAGATGGCAATACCTCCAAACAATACTGACAGATATGGGCCTGTTCGGGTTTATCTAAATGCATAGTTTTCAGGTGTATCTGCAAAACCGCAAGGCTGGAAAATAACTGTTTGTTGCAGTAAATGCAGCTATAGGTAACTTTTGCCTGTTTACTTGAAGGACCAGTGATATCTGGCACTTGCTGAGCCGCCCGCTTCCTTCCACGACCTTTCGGTATAGGGGGAGCTGTTTCCACCATTGTTGAACTATCCACTGAGAGATTCGAATCTGGAGTGGTGCTAGAGACTGAGGTGTAGCCCACGGTTACCAAAGATGGGCTGTTGCTGTGGTTGCACGACTCGGGCTGCTGGTGACTGTCCATGTGGCTGTACAGCTCCTCCACAGTATGAAAGTTCTCAGAGCAAATGCTGCATGAATTCTTCTTCTCACCATTATGAGCCTGCTCCATGTGATTCACCAGAGACGTTTCCTCTACAAAGAGTTCATGACAGTAAACACACTGAAGAGCAGATCGGTCTTCATTAGGGGAACACTCGGGGTGACATTCTGCAATGTGCTTCTGAAGATCTTCAGGAAAATCAAAGCCTTCTTCGCACTGACTGCATTTCTGAGTGTCCTTCATTTTCCAGTCCTCCATCCGGGAAGCGGACTGAGAGCCATCTTTGTTCCTCTCGTGAACCTGCATGTGACCATGCAGCGAACTAGATGACAGGAAGCCACGTCTACAAATGGCACACTTATATGGCTTGTTGGACGTATGAGTCTTTAAATGAATTTTAAGATGATCGCTCCTTGAGAATGCTGCGTCACACTCACTGCAGTGATACTTCTTGTCTCCTGTATGAAGCTTTATGTGGCGGTCCCTGCTCCGTTTGTGTTTGAAGAGACGACTGCAGTACGTGCATTTGAAAGGGAGCTTGTCGCTGTGACTTTGCTCGTGGTGCTTTAAGTAGCTGAGGCGGCTGAACGATTTGTCACAAAACTGGCACGGATAGGGCAACCCTGGGCCTCCTTCCTCTTCGCCAAAATCACAACCTTCTCCATGACTCGGGGAAGTCTGGTCCTTGCTAGAAGGTGATGAGGCTGGCCATGAGCAACTGGGGTCATCCTCAACATCCACTCCATCTGAAATGAGAAAGAAACGTGCCCACAAGCTTAACCACTGCAGTTTAAAGGAGACGGCAAATGCAGATGAACAATACAGATCTGCTACTCCTAAATAGCTAAAACATACTAAACTCAGACTAGGATATTTCTTACACCTGTATCCAACAGCTTCAAGACCACATTTATTTTTATCAGACTGTAAAACATTAAAATTTATTAAATAGTTCTGTGCCTATATTACCTTTTTATTGCTTTTTTATAATTCTTTCTCAGTTGTAGGATATGTATTATACATTGACAACTTTATTAAAATGCAGATTTTAATATATTTAATGTTTCTTTTGTATCCATTGTAAAATGATTTGCGTATTATGTGAGCATCTGAAGAGTCAAAGGACAGCAGAAAATATTACGGGAATGATTTAAAATTAATACAGTCAACCCACATGCCTAATATTTAATAAAAAGAGTCCCTCTGCTTTGCCACAGGTGTTTTTTTTTTTCCCTTGAAGTTGATTCTGAACACAGAAATCTTTTAAAGCCTATTACTGAGAGAGACTTGGGTGTTACTCTAAACAATAATAGGAAAAATTACAGGAGAGGAACGGGACAACAGTATAAACAGTGATGTTTTCTCCAATAAAGTGCAACCAGATTTCTCCAATAACGATACAATTGAGTTACTGAAAGCTGGCAGCTGGATCATTAAATGTTCAAAACAAACTAACAAACCAACAGCCAGGATCAACAAAAATGAGAAAAAGTTTCAAAAGGGTCAGATGTGAACTGCATCTTTTTTTTCCTTTTTAAGTTCAAGAGGTTGCCCACCATTTCTTCCTTTTCGCAAAGGCCTCAGCCAGTTGAACTTCCTTAGTCCGGCAGAACCTGCACTGTGAGGTGATCACAGACAAAGTGACTTGTGAAAAACTGGAAACAGGAAAAATGATAAACAGTTATGGTAAAAGCTGAAAGATTTATGAGTAACATGGAAAAGACAAAATAGAAATGCTAGCCAGACAATAAACTGAACTAGTTATCTATGGTATTACCTCATCTCTAGACAGGGCAAGTCGTAACTATTTTTCTCAACAGCTGTGCTGTACAGTTTTTGCACCTTTTGTTTTAAATGTAGATTACAGAACTACAGTGGATCATACTTATCTTAACCCAAGACTGCTTTAAAAATATTAAAAGAATGCTTGAAATACCACTGAACATCAAATAATCCTTCTATTCCTTTCCAGGGGCGATGCTTGGGGTTTTTTTCCTTTTAAAAGTAAAATTGACTACAGCAATAGTACAGAAAAAGACAGGATAAACCTCTTGAAAATATCTTTCTTAAGGCATCCTTGAAAAGCAGTAAGTTCTTAACATCTTCAGCCATCTCTCAAGAAATTTACTACACCAAAATCAAAGTTAGAACTGGCCTATATTATGTAAACAAACCCCAAGCCTGCTTTCTTTAAGGTAACAAGATTTTACTAGATTATCAACCTCTTGCTTATCCACAGGAAACAGATGAGGATTCATTCCTTTCCTGCATCTAGAAACTGATGACAACGCCATCTCACTATGAATGCCAGATGGCAACCATCTAACTCTGAGAAAACAACCAAACACCATCGCTGGATGCCTGCCCACTGACACAATGCTTTTCAGGATAAGTTGGGAACTGCACGGGATTTTATCCTCTTGTTTACGTCTCGAAGAGGAGGGTTTCACAAATTACACAAACCTTTTGCACACAGGCACAGTATATATCTGTATTTACCTACGTATAAATCTGCGCTAATGGTACATCTTTAAATCAAAAAAACAAACTGCCCAAGTACCATGTCTTTGAACTGAAAACAAAGGTGTTTGTTTTTTTAAGATAAAAACTGAAAAACAAAAATCCTCTCTTCTAGCAAAATCATCTGCTAAAATGCTTCCCAGTAAACTGAAGCAAAGTTAATCATTGTCACAAATTATAAATAATACCAGCCCGGTGAGTTTGTAAGTTGGTACATTAATGACTGCAATATTCACAGGAGACTTTTCATGTAAATCCGTGTACTGCCCTTTCAAACTGCTGGGTTTGACTCTACAATTGGAAATGATCAAAACAGTGGAACAACTATTCAGAGAAAAAAATGGGGGTCTTTTTCAACATTTTTAGATTTTATTTTAAATGAACGTTTTCAGCCAGGTCTTTAAAGTGGAAAAACCTTTTGTCCTTTAAAAATCAAATATATTTCTGACATTCGATCACTGCTGGCAGATAAACGGGAATTTATGTCAAGCAACCGAGTGAAATAAAATAGTCTGCAACTGCCTAGGCAACATATTTTGTAACCAAATTTAGTATTAAAATGTATATCCTATGCAGAAATGATATATTATTGTATAAATGTTTAGAGGAATATATAGTAAGTGTTATAAATAGTGTACCATCACTGATATGGTAGTAAATCACTTCCTTTTTGTGGCCATTGCCTGCCTGCTTTTACCTACTATACAATTATTCCCCCCGGCTCATGGATCTCAGTAGGCTGCGGGGCTGGCAGCAGGGTCGGGATCAAGTGCTGAGTGTGGCCACGGTATAAGCATCGGCAGTCTCTTTCCTCCATCCATTTCTTGTTTGCTTGGGCATCTCTCCTTTAGCTTTTGTACAAGGCAAGGAAAGCAGAGGGGGAATAGCAGTGACTGCAGCACAGAGCTGGTGCTTATGTTCCAACTGGCAAACACAAATGTTTCTGTGTGTCACTTTGCACTTGAGTTTCTTAATCTAAGCCCACAGTAACTCTACAGAGTAATTCTCTTTGTGCAAAAAGGAGTAGAGTAAACCACTTATGAGTCTGACTTGCGTTCTTTTAACTTGAAATGCGAAAATCTCTCAATCTCTCAGAGCTACGGAAGAAGCAGCAAGGCAGGGGGAATTCCGCACAGCGCACGGCAGAGGACAACAGGATTTTCCTGAGTATGAGCCTAACAATGCAGCCAACGTGTTTCCCCAGCTTCCCCCCAGCACGGCAGGGCGGGGGAGAGCTGGTGTGGAAGGGGCACCGATGGCCGGCCACTGCGCTCCGGAAGGAGGGCCCCTGGGCTGTGCTCACGCAAAGGGTTCCCAAAGCCGAGCCTGTTGGCCATCAGTGACCCGCAGAAGGACTTTTGAAACCTTCCTCTGCGACAAAGGAAATGTTTCGCTGCAGTGACTTTTGCTGTGCAGACTCCAACCTGAACACTGGGAATATTGTGTGTGATGGACTAACGCGCCCAGTGAGCTTAGGGGCTGTCTAGGAACGGATCTGGACAGCGATCAAGAAGGAGACCTCGGCTAAAGGCAACTGCAGCTGCAGCAGGACGTGAGTGATGGCACTGCCTGTCCTGCCATCTCCCTGTACTTCCCCACAAAGATACTGCCCCATAAAATTAACGTGCAACCATTAAGAGATGCTCCGTCAAAACGGCAGTGACCTGTGGCTTGCTGCGCCGCGCTGAGGCTACTCCATGTGCGCAGGCGTTAGCTGAGCAGACCTGGGCACTCAAAGCCATGGCGGAGGAGCTGAACAGAAGGTCCCCGCAGCTAACCAGCAGGCTCGGGATGTAGACTCCACTCCCACTTTCCCAGGGGCACTTCCCACAGAGCCGGCTCTGTGTTGGAGATTACGTTTGACTCGCTGTTGGGGTAAAGGACTTCAAACCCTTTTTTGTCAATCACTCTCACAGAAAATACTAACAGTTTGCTGCTACTCTGCATACAGCCATGTGTATATAAATCTGCAGACACCTACCCACCGAGCTATGTCAACATTACAAATACTGATTCTTAATGTTATAACAAGCTGGTTTAAAATAGTCTGGAACAAATTCAGATGCACACATACAAGTCTCCAGGAGTGGTACACATCTATCTAAGGGCAGACTAGGGCTTCAGGTATTCGACAGAGTGTTTATGGAGTTTTAAAATATATTTTCTGTATCAACGTATTTTTTTCCTTTAGCACTCACTAAGTGCTACTTACTGTAAATGCCTTTTTTGTGTTATGGCAAGTATTCTGAGTTTCAATGTGATGCACTTAACATGTCCATGTAAATTTTTAATTTTTGGAACCAGTCACTTCACACTCACTGACTCTAAGAAAGCTTTAGCACTCACAACCAGAAAACTTTGCTGGAAATCAGCTACAAGGCCTAAAAGTCTATTTAAAGATGCAAATGTGTGTGAATAGTTAGTGCAGATGTTTTTCTACACCAACTGTACTTGCTGAGTTTCACCATTTCCATAAAGCACATTAAAACAAGTGTGTGAACACTCTGAGATGAAAGTACCAAGCACTCCTGAGACTTCCAGTGGAAAGTAGAGCTGCCTGACTTTTCTCCAAGCAGACAGGAATGACCATGATTCAGCAGCCTGAGTAAATAAAAGAGGTCCTTATTTCCTAATTTTGCTGGCTGGCCACACTGCAGCAGTCTCTGTGCTGCTGCCAAAGGGGATGCAAAACTGGAACTACACCCAGCAGCTGAAGGACTGTCTTTGTTAGCCAGCCAGGCCTTCCTGACCATCTTCTGGCAACAAAACTACCGTATCCTGCGAGGAAGACCTCCATCTCAGGCTTGATAGTTCTCTAGTCTGCCTAATAGGACGAAACAACAGATTTTGCCTGGTCTGTGTTGGAGGAGGACAGCTGGAAACTCAGTTAGTAGCAGAGTAACACCTGTTCAGTCATATTTATGGGGGAAAGTGCTCACTAACAGAAAAGTGAAGTAATACCAGAAGGAGTTATCCCACGGAAGGGGAGGGAGGAAGGGGGAAGCATCAGAGCACAAAAGCACCTCTGTGGAGTTAGCAGCCAGCCACTCATGTGCCAACCCCAGTAGTCGTGAGGTCTTAAAAGTGATCTTATCCCTATTGCTGCTGACTGAATTAACAGTACTGCTTCAGACAAACATTACTTAGTCACCAAGAAGGTTTATGACATATGCATGCTTTGGCTGGAATACGCTTCAGGGCACTTGCTTTATCATGCCTTATTTTT